GTCTGTGAGGTCTCTGCATATGTAATGGCCAAGGTACTTTACCTCCTCACTGACATTTAGAGCATTACCACATAGGGAGAATGCAGGAAATACAGATTTTATGTCATTTTTTGTCCTCACAATCATGAAGCTTTTACTAGAGTTATATTTTCATGTTCATTTTGAAGACCGTACTCAGAGCATATCTTGAGGAGCTGCTGAAGTCCTGCACTGTACGGACTGAGCACAACCAGGTCATCGGCATACATTAAGGTGGTTAATCACTCTGCCTCAGACAACACACCCAGTATTACAGTGATTGAGCTGTACAGATAAATCGTCCATATAGATCTTAAACAACAGGGGGGACATCACACTACCCTGCCGGACTCCATTACTGACCTTGAATGAGTCTGACACTGACCCACCCCACTTCACCTGCATACTCTGCTGTGAGTACCAAAATGTGAGGACCCTAATAAGGTAGCCAGGAACACCTCTATTAGAGAACTTCCTGAAAAGCCTCTCATGATTAATCCTATCGAATGCTTTGGATGCATCTAAGAAACAGGTGAAAATTGTGGAACCTTGACTCTGGTACTTGTCCAGAATTTCCTTAAGGGCAAAAATACACAGGTCAGTACCATGCTCTTGTTTGAATCCAAACTGGTTTGCAGCTGTATAAAGGTATGGTTCAAGTCTGTACAGAATGATCCTCTCAAAAACCTTGGCCACAAAACTGGCCAAGGCAATAGGCCGATAGTTGTCCTTACTGTTGAGTTTCCCAGCCTTGTCTTTGATTACTGGGACAAGTAAGACTGACATAAGTGACACAGGCAAAACCCCATGAACAAAAAAACTAGTAAAACATAGAGCAAGAAGTGGGTATAACTTTTTGCTTGCATATTTTAGGTGCTCAAATGAAACTGCATCTGGTCCACATGACTTGTTACTCTTCAATGTTAAAACAGCATTAAAAACCTCAAGTGGAGTTACGATCACACCATCATTATTATCAACAGCCCCTATAATAGCATTATTGTCTTTACCACAATTATACAATTCATAATAATATTTCATCCACAATTTACATATATTGTCCGAACCAGTTACTCCGTCAATATCACAGGGAAGAGAAGTCTTGCAACTGTTCATCATTCTAACTTCTTTCCAAAAGTCAAAGAAGTTGTTGGCTTTGTCCATATAATTCTATCTCTAAAAGGACTGTAGGGACATTGGATTTGTTATTCCAAACACCCACAGATTACACACAAATGCATATTGTTTGATAGATTATTGTTTTTTCACATTTTCTTCAAGACGACACCAATGCTCTGTCACTTTAGGAGATGATATTCTGTTTGTGTTGATAAATGAGAGCACGGTTTGGAAACTAAAGCTTATCTCATCTTAAAAGTCTTACCTGCTTCGAGTCCAGACCGACGGCCAGTTGATGTTCAGGAAGTCTGTCATTTAATCTTTTATAACAATCTCATTTGGTTTCAGAGCAATAAAAAAGTGCTCTCATTAATCTAAAATGTAATTCAGACGGTACATTACAGTTGGACCTTTATGGTTAAAGTCGTCATGAAAACAGTCTGTGATCTACTCACTCTAAATATTGTTTGTAACACAATCTTTTTTATTCTGCTCTCCTGACATCTAATCCTCACTGCTATGTTCTAGATTCTGTAATTGTACCGTCTCTAAAACACTTGTCAACTCACTGTCAGGCAGCAATGTTTTTAAAAAGCAATACAAAATTGTGATTGTAAGCGGCCAGGGTGAAGGGGTCACTGTTTGGAGTGTTTTAAGAATGAAAAAAATTTGATTCCTGTAATTGCAATTAAAACCATTTACATAAAGGTGCACTTTATTAATCCCCATAGAGCAATTCATCCTCTGCATTTGACCCATCCTGATGCTACTAAGGCTTACATTAGGAGCAGTAGTCGCCGTAGTAACAGCGCCTGGGAACCCATCTCCAGATGTTGATGCTCGGCTTGGTCAGGACTACCAGAGCTGGAGGATTGACCTAGTGTGCTTGTTTTTAGTGGTAGGGGAACCCGGAGCACCCAGAGGAAACCTTTGCACGTACAGGGAGAACATGCAAACTCCACCCAGAAAGACCCTATTCCGACCAGGATTCGAACCCAGGACCTTTTTTCTCAGAAGAAGGTCCTGTTCAAACTAATCTAAAATGCTACTAATATCAAGTTCAGAAAAAAGTTATCCACTGCTAGAACTAGACAAGGCGGCAGTAGCCAAAGTAGCCATTGAGGCAATTTCAGTGTCATCCAGCCAACTTCAGCTCCACCGATTTCATGCTGTAAGACATGGTCATTCTTGCTTCATCATGCTAAAGTTGGAGATTTTAAGACATCTTTCCTTATTATGCTAAAGATAGTAAAGTTCAGTATAGCTATGTTTCATTTATCTTGTGCTGTGTGCTCCTACCGTTCTGTAACTTGTGAAGCAACTCTGAAATTTCCCCACTGTGAGACAAATAATGGATCTCTTCATATCACCTCATTGTAAAGCTCAGGGCATTTGGAATCCAGCTGCCAACACTATTTGCATATACTGACATTTGTTTTTGGTTGTGTCACAACATTCCATTTGTCGCTTATGTAGCTGTGACGGGAATCTACAGTCATTATCATACAGCCTTTTAGAGCTGAAAATTGCCCGAAACCAGTGAATCCAGTTTTACAATCCATGTCGTCAGCCCTTGAATAAGTCTGGTTAACTAAAGTGGCCCTGTTACTAAAATGTTTGGACAACCCTGTAATAGAGTATAATTTTAGCGGCGAAGCACAAACGCTCACTTCTTTCCACTGGGGGCTGCGTCTCCAATGCCCTCTGGGTGCACCAATTTTCCACATGAACCCAAATAAAACAGAAAAGGCTTATTATTATCCAGCCAGGTGCTCAGGAGGGAAAACATCTCTTTGGGAATAATTAGGCAGACCAAGCAATAGTTAAAAACAATCATATTCTTAGATGCACAAGTGTTTTTTTTTATTAATACAGAGTAAGAATAGACTCAGTATCGTGAAGTACATTCAGTGGCTGATCCAGTCGTCATATAGATTTGTGAGGATTGGACTCCCGCTTCCACAAAAGTCATAAATACTCCCGCAGCCGACGTTTTTGAATTCCACTTTTGCTCTCTCCCCAAACTGTGTGGGTTTGGATCCAGCAGCTGCGCATGATAACTAATAGGAAACGGAGCTGCTATGCATGTCATTTGCAGGGGACGGCTTGCTGAGTGGCGGACCACAGGGAGGCAGGGGAGGGGAGGGGGGAGGGAAGACTGATTGAAGGTCCTAATGTTACATTTTAGCAGCGATTTCAGATGTTTTCGCCCCCCCCAAAGAGTGACACGCACAAGCTCTCGAGGGGGAAGTCTTGTGCGTCGAGAGAACATCTGGGAGTTTCGAAACCACACAGGCGTCGCGCACATCACTGTACATCCCCTAAATGAAGTCACAGAGGGATATGCTTTGAATTACCGGCTTTTCTCGCTGTTACAGACCAAACCGCTTTTACATCCTTGTTTTCTCTCGCAGATTTCTTCCTGATGACTGCTATAATAATTCGGTCAGAAGCAAGAGATTTGGTGTGAGGAAGGATCTGCATCTGTTCCTGCTCTCATGCCAGCTGTTTAGAGGTCGCTCTAGTTTATAAACAAGCAACAGAGTCCTGTGCAGTCGCAAGTGAAGACGTTGAAAGATGCATGTGTGTGTGTGTGTGTGTGTGAATTATGGCTGCGTGATTAATTTTTACGGTTGCAGTTAGCAATTCGTCAAGACAATTATTTCTGTGATTTCCCAACACAAACTTTTAATTACAATGAGTTTTGTTTGAAATGTTAATGGAAAAAGCAAGTCTCTTTTGTCTTGTTGTCGAGAAAAAGCACAATTATATTATTCCAAATGAGACATCTTTTTCATAATTTAAATAAACTGTGTGTGTATTTACTTCTGTAATTCAAACTCATACAAGACACACTCATTACACGCTAAAATCATGCCTTTCCCATCGGTTAGAATTCTCCAAACATGTTCTGAAATGTCAGAATCGTGTATGAAGAAATCGCTTCATATGTACACGTTTTTATATGCAACTCTCTTAAAGTAGTTTTTACTCAATTAGACATTTGAACATGTAGAATATCAAAAACCGCATCGTAATCTTAGTCAGAAATATTGCAATTTGATATTTTGCCACCGTCGTGCAGCCCGAGTGTGAATCAGTCTTAGTGGTGACATCTCCAAACGCTTTACTGTGGACTTCTGAAATACGCAGATGAAAATAACAAAACTGCAGACGATTTCTCACTACCCCGTCTAAACACAAAAGTCAAACAGAACCATTCATCTCCGTGACGAGATAAAAAAAATTGATGTAGACCGGAGCGAGCCGACACATTCAAATGAGTTTCACAGTCAACCCAGACGCCTAAATGCTTCTATTGCTCAAAAGTGTTTTTTCTTGCCATGAAATATGCGGAGCCCCATCATAGTGTGGATCGTGTAAACACATTCAAACCTGTTTCACAAACGCGGCGTGTCCTCTACTCCGAAAACATGCAAGGATAATATATTGCTCGCAGAAAAGTCATTTATACTTGTCTGCACCCCTCCTGCAACAATCCTAGAGATTCAAGTAATCTAAGTGCTCCGTTATGAAAAAGTCGACTTTTTATGAATGAATCTCCAGTTTCGCTTGACCCTGGTTCAAAAAGTCTGCATGAATCCAGTTGCTTTAGACCCTGTTGAAATCCTGAAGACCACTGGACTGGAGCCAAGAAGCTAGCAAAAGCTCAGTTTGGGTTGAGACCAGCACAGCGTCTGGGGATTGTCTGTGCTGTGTCAAACTGAGAAGCCTCTTCAACTCTTGGCCTCATCACCAGAGCTGTCCCGGGCTTTGATAAGGCAGTGTTCCACGTAGCACAAAAGAGCCAGTGACAGGGTCCGTTTGAACGCACACACACGCACACACACTCACACACGCACTCAGCTCTGTTTCCTGAAGGTGAATATGTCCCTGGTTTTGGAGGTCCGCTTGCAGTCCGGAGAGGGCGTGGGCGCGGGGGACTGCGAAGGCGTGGTGGCGGGGGAAGGAGAGCAGGGCCGAGGGGTGGACGTGCCCCCGTACGGACAGCTCTGGGAGTCGGGGTGCTCTCCGGAACATTCCACGGTGGGGATGTAGCGGCTGTCCCACATGCCCGGCCCGCACAGCTTGCACAGGTCATGCAGGCTGCACGGGATCCGGGGCAAGAGGCGGAATTGGTACAGGAGACTGCGAGCCTGCGGGGGACACAAGGACACAGCTGTGAAAAACATATGTGGGATTGTGTAAAAGTTGTTTGGAAACAGAAAAAGGACAAAAATTATAATTTGCTTGAATTTAGGAAAATGTCTCTTTGTTTGAGGATATTTTGAAGTATTTTACTTTATGAGACATAATTTTTTTTTTTCATAATTTACATAAAACGACAGCTAAGGAACTCTGTTTGTGTATTTAAAGTGATATTCCAGAAGTCCTGGAGCGGTCTAGGTTTGTGTACATGCGCTTGTTCTTGAAAAATAAATAACAAAAATGACAGAGATAAAAGATGACTGCAACAACACATGTTTATATATATTTAACATTTATATGTATTTCTGTATTTTTGTGTTTATTGTGCTGTTTTTTCCCATCTGTACAATACTTTGCTAAGCCTAGGCTGTTTTAAATGTGCTCTACAAATAAAGATTTGATTGATTTTTGCAGTCAAAAAATGGCTGCATTGCTTCATATGTATGCTCTTTGAAATGTAACTCTCTTTAAGTTTGTCATATTTTACTCTGAATCAAATAAGACTTTTTAAAAACACACAAAACTATCACAATTAGATAATTCCCCCAAATCGCACAGCCCTAATGCGTATGCAAATAATGCGCGCGAGAACAGAATACGGGCAAGGTCAGCTTTGCATGGTTTGAGCCGAAGGTAAAAAGGGCGACTCTTGATGCTAAATCTCATACGCTACAGCAGCTGCATGCTAACACCACCTCTGCCTCTGGTCTGGCCCTGTACGACCATACCATCCATAAACATGAGAGCCGCGGCCAAGCACGTCGGCTCCGCTCCACGAGGCCTCGGTAACATCTACTGCTCTGCTGCGTGTGCCACTCCCATCGTAATGCCCCACTTATCATGTACGTAATGTAGTGTACTCACAGAACGCTCATCAACCAGAGGAAATATACAGAAGCGCTCACAGTGGGGAGTTTTACAGTTATGCCTGCAGTGGTTTGTAGCCCAGGCGAGCTTCAGCTGATTCAAAATTCATGGCCATATCAAAAGAATACATTTTTTTACACGTTTTCTCTGAGGCCGTATCGGTGAGGCTATCTTCCATCCGTCAATCCGCCACGTGTCTCTTCTTTGCACTGTTGCCTCGAGCTCAGAATCAGTGTCAGATAATGTTATTCCTTCGGTTTTGTTTCTTACTCACACACACACGCAGCAGGATAATCAGAGCTGATGGGGTAGACGTGTAGGGTCAGAGAGTGTTTAGGCCTGTGTCTTTTCTGGGTGAGTGTGAATGTGTGCGTGTAATAATAACAATAATAATAATAAAACATTGTATTTTGTAGGTGCCTTTCTAGATATTCAATGTCGCCTTACAACACAAGTAAGAAGTATGTTTAGTTAAAGTTAAAATGTATGTGTATGTATGGGTGGCACAGCGGTTAGTGGTAATTTAGTGGTAATCTTTGATAGACCACACACAAAGAGCATTATAATTTTGGCGTACCGGTCGTTTCACGTCACGCATGGAACGAGACATCAACCTCCACCATCTGTTCGTACCGGCCCTGTCCAGAGGTGGAATCCGACAAGCTCTAACCACTGTGCCACCGCGCCACCCTGCTGCCCTAAGTTAGGATCCCCGCAGGTCCTGGGTTCAATTTCACCTCCAGACCGGGCCTTTCTGTGTGTAGTTTGCATGTTCTCCCCCTCCTGTGTCTGCCTAGGTTTCCTCCTAGTGCTCAGTTCTTGCCGTGCTCTGAAAACATGTACGTTAGGTCTTGCGGGCGACCTCGCTTCCATCACTGCGTGGAGTGAGAGGAAAAATGTCCCCAACGGTCTGCGAAAGGCGATACATGAATAAAGATAACTAAAGGTGAACGTGTGTGTGTGTGTGTTTTAAAACTGTATTGCTGTTTGTTATTTCGCCTTTGTAACCAGTTTGTTTTTGTGTGCAAATTTGAATTTAAAAAATACTACAATCATCCATCATGATCTCAGCAGGTACAAGACAAAACACCAGATACATGGTTTTGTGCAGTATTTTGAAGTTCTGAAATGAGTCCACCTGTTCAAATCTGCCTATACTTAACTGCTTATTGTAGCTTTTTATTCATTTATTTCTATTACACATCAACCTGTCCTTTTATAATTTGGACATTCAAGGACGCATTATAAAAGCACAATGTAATATCCTTACTACTATTAGGTTAGACATTACATTCCAAAGGCACATAGTCCGACATGAATAAACAATGAAGAATGCAGCCTGTGTACTGCTGCTGCACAGAAGAGGACAGAAGAGGACAGAAGAGGACAGAAATGGACAGAAGTGGCCTGTGCCGTACCTTGCGTAGCACCAGCTCTCCGTTCATGTGCATGGATAGGTTACTGAAGTGCAGCAGCATCTGGTCGGTGGGAAGCTGCTGCTCCGTGACGTCCTCCCCGTAGAGAACAATGATGGCCACACACAGGAACAGGTGGAAGTAGTCCGTCTGCAGACAAGCGCGGAGGTTAACACGCTTTTCTACATCATTGTGGGCTGTCAAACTGTAAAAGCGTTCAATAAAATGGTTTGAACCGTGACCGCGTTCCAAGGTTAAGTTACGCAGAAGAGCAACATGCTAATTGCAGATGCTAAACAAGGAGAGGATATGCTAATTTATGTAGTTGGTATGGACGGTAAATATGTTCTTCGAAAGACCTTGGGAACATAGAGAACCATTGTTTTTTTGTCAACAATGGTCTACACATTACTTTAAAACACAAAATATGTTCATAAATGAAGTCCATATGTATATTTGTCAACAATAATATCGGTTACATTTTAACAACTATTTCCTTCCTCCATATTCAAACCAAATAAAACTCTTCTGGTTATAAGTCGCCAAACATTTCAGTGATTAAATAACGGTTTTGAATTCAGTATAACTTTTGTGAGTACAGTTTGGGTCAGGTTATGCAGTATTCTTTTAGAGCAGGGGTCTCAAACCTGTAGCTTGGGAGCCACCCGTAGCTCACCGTGGCCTTCCAGGTAGCTTGCCAAAGGATTTAGAAATGAATAAAATAGAAAAACTGGGCGACAGTAGCTCAGTTGGTAGAGCATTGGCCTTAAGGCCAGAAGGTCGTGGGTTCAATTCCCACCTCTGCACCTTCTCCATCGACTCCCACTGATGACTGCTGTCGTTGTGTCCTTGGGCAAGACACTTAACCCCACTTTGCCCAAAAGCCCCCACTGAAAGATCAAGGCTATGCTCACACTCAGAGAGCAGCCGTCCTCCTGTGGACTCACCACCTGCAGAGGGTCAGTGAGGGGCTGGTGCTATGAGACTTGGGTGGCATCTCTGACTGACACCCCCCTGACCCAGAAATGGATTAAAGGGTAGAAAATGGATGGATGGATGGAGAACAAAAAACATAATATCTCAGCTTGTATAATTCATTATCATTAAATATTATTGTAAATGCTCTCTTTGTGCAGTAGTAACAAATATGTGATGATAAATAATGACTGTGCCAATATCAGGCTTGTTCAAACCAATATATCACCACATTTTTCCCAGGGCCGCTTAAAGGAGTTGCTCTCGCCCTTTATCGTCCCGGGAAAGTAGCTCTCTGAGTGTAAAAGGTTGGAGACACCTGTTTTAGAGCATTTGCCACACCCCTCTTTTTTTTTTTCAGACGACACAGTCACCAGACATACACACACAATATGTACATACAAAGCATACATTACATAACCTAACATAATATAAAGTCAAATTGATTGGGGGCCTTTTGGCAATAATTTCTTTGGCTTTTCACAGCCCTAGTAATAAACCACTATGTAATTTTGTCTACTCTTCAACCCAGGTCATTTGTTTTGCAAAATGGTGTTGCTCTTCAAAAGCCCATAATGAAGAGTTAATCAGAAATGAAGTGACATTTTAAGGGTGGTTTTGAGTTTCCCATTTGTACCTGCTCCAGCACCTGCAGAGCATTAAAAACTGAGCGAGCAGCTGGCACAGTTCGGGACAAGTGACATTTGACTCTTAACAGGAGGGAAGCTGAAGCTCTGTGTCGCCACCTCACATCCATAAGAATGAGGAACACACACACACATTGTTTGAAAATCAGCTGTTGTGGCGTTTAGAACTGCTCAGAGCTTGTCAAGTGTTCTTACAGCAATAATCACAAAAGGAGATATTTAGAACACTGAGGTACAGGACAATGTATGTGAAAAATGAACGATGAGATTTGAAATGCACTGTAACAAACAGGTATAAGGCTAAAGGTGTGTGTGTGAGTCTGTATCAGAGAAATATGTATTGTATTTTTATTGAATGGTACATTACTGTATTCATGTATTTTATTTATGTAACCAGGGACTGCAGATGGAAACTACCCGTTTGGCTAAAATTTGGTGCAGAACTGTACAGATCTGTCTTCTCTGTACATTGTCCCTTCAACTAAAGACTAAACTTAAAACTAACTCTATATGGAGCAGATTGACCACTGTACATACATGTTAATAACTGTCCATCTGAATTCATACAACAAGTCTTTAGTCACCATAAAACAGTCAGATATATTTAGCAGGTTGCTTATACAAGAAGGAAAGTCCAGAGCAGGGGTCTCCAACCTTTTTCAATCAGACAGCTACTTTTATACAACAGAAGAGACAGAGATCGACACTTTTTTGCATTCATAATAAAAATCTATGAAATACGGAAAACAGAAAAAAACACAATACTGTATAGCTCTATGTTTATACTAATAGATATGTGATGACTCAAAAGTGAATCATTCAAGATCAGGTGTTACATTTCTAAATCCTTTTAGAGAGCTCCCTGAAAGGGGCTGGAGACAAATGACAAATAAAGCTAAACCAATTATTTGCATCTGAATAAATCTAACTATATCAGTAAAAAAGACAAAAACATGTTTGTATTGTTCAAATATAACGATTAAGAGATCATACTGTATATTCGTCACACAGTGGTGAAATAAATGTGAGTTTGTATTTTTTTGTGCCAAGAATAGGCTTGCACCAGACATTTGCATTGTAATACTTCCACTCATTATTATTGCTTAAATGATTATTGATAATAATAATAATAATAACACATGGGTTTTATATATAGTGCTTTTCTGGGCGCTCAAACACGCCTCACATGGCATTTCTCACTCACTCCAACCACGACGGCAGGAGCGGGCTTCCACATGCAGGTATGGCCACAGAAGCCTGATATGATTGAGAGGAAGAGTACAGAGAGTGGAGCCCCCTCAGACCTGGTAGTGTGCCCAGCAGGCCTCCCACATGCGCAGGGCGTCCGTGTCGGGGAACTCCCTCTTGAAGCAGAGGAGGATCCAGCGGTGGCAGAAGAGCAGCTGCAGCCCGTCCTCCCCCAGGTGGGTGAGGTGCTGGTGGAAGCGCGGCAGCATGAGGCGTAGCAGCTCACGGAGGTACATCTGCAGGAGGGAGGACAGCTATGGTTTATGATGCGAGAGGCCATAACAGTATGACGCATGGCGGGGATTGGCCATATTTACGTGCACCGTGATAATTGTAAAGTTATCATTATTCAGTGGTAAATAACTACAGTCTTGCATGTATTTCAAGTATGTTCGTGGGGTCTACCGATTTTTTTTCCCACTTCATTTTGAGCTGACAATTTGTAAATAGAAATGCATTTGTTAATACATATTGAAATTGTATATATTCAACACATGGTGAAACTAAGGCAAAAACTGTTTGATTGTATATTTATGTTTATATATTTGCTTGTGTAAGTCTAAACTGTAAGTGCAGTAGGCAACTCGGGGGACTACACAGGTGCATTCTATTTATCATCATCAGTCATTTAGGACAACATTGGATCATTCAAAGATCCTCACTGAACTTCTGGACTGAGTTTGCTGCACTGAAAGTAAAGGGGCCGAATAATATTGCACGCCCCACTTTTCAGTTTTTTATTTGTTAAAAAAGTTTAAATTATCCAACAAATTTCATTCCACTTCACGATTGTGTCCCACTTGTTGTTGATTCATGACAAAAAATTAAAATTTTATATCTTTATGTTTGAAGTCTGAAATGTGGCGAAATGTTGGAAGGTTCAAGGGGGCCGAATACTTTCGCAAGGCACTGTATGTAACATGCATGAAATAATAAAATCAAGTAATCATTTATCTCATTGGAATACATGTGCAAAAGTCCCCAGTGGTCACCAGATAAGTACATAAATAAAACTATTAAAAGTACAGGTATAAAACAAACTAAAAAAAGCGCAGGAAAAAAAGGACACTGAAATCAATCAATTTCAACATCATTACAACAGCTTGTGGAAAGAAGAAGTTAATTATTTCTTCCTGTACATGGCATTTGTCTGCAGCAGCAATGAGCAATTACTGAAGTGATTGGAATGTGCACAAACGGGTTAGCTTTATTTGTCGGCTGCTTTATTCTGTCTACATCACTGAAGTATCTTTTTACTTTGTATTTCCTTGTTACAGTGAATGTGGTTTTATACATAGGCATGCTACAGTTAGGTGCATGTACATTTATATATACATTATTTGTGTAAAAATGTGTTATAATAGTTCAAAAGAAAGGGTTATAAAAAAACAAAACAATTTGATATACAAATAAATGAAAGAAAATACATCAAGAAAAATAGTATAGTATAGTAATAGTATGTAATAACATCCAAATGGTTACATCAAGTGCATATACCATGTCTTATATACATTTGATTCTATTGTTCATGTTTCCATTCTTCCCTTTACCTTAAATTATGTGTTTATATGACGACCATCCAATGAACAAAACATTTTTATATTTGGCTCTCTCCACACTAAACTGTACAATGCATCAGACTAACTTCAAATGGAAATAAAATAAATGTATGAACCAAAATGTGTGTACCTAAAAATTCTTTAATACTATGAAGTTTATAGATATAAATAGGATAATCTCAGAACCATATCAATAAAATGGATGCCTTTCAAAAACACTTTGGGGACACAATTGTTACATATACTGTAGGACATATGTTAGAGGCTTTGTGAATGGACTAAATGACAGAACAAGGAAGACTAATAAGTGTGTAGAGATATAACAATGATCAATCTCTAATTATAGATTACGCATACAAAGTTATTCAGTAACTGCAGACAAACTGGGCGTTTTGGACGTAACACGGACAAATCAGTGTTTAAATATTGCCCGCTGTAAAAAAAAGACAAAAAAAAGTGGGCGCTGTGAACCTTCAGCAGTAATGGCCGCAGTCATTTAGGGACTTTTTTTTTAGGGACCAAATGTAACACATACTGTAGGTACAGTTTAGCGTGGCTTATCATACTATACTATTGTTACATATTTGCATGATCTGTTCATGCCAAGCCGCTATAGTAGGAATTTGGTTACGTTCACTCTGATAAAGGTCATGATTGGAGATACTCAGCCCAGATAAACGTGCTTTATGTTTGATCGTTGCGAATACACGCTCGTACCAGCTGCCGCTCCATGTCGTCATCGCGCGGAGAGCTGATGAAGATGGTGTTCTCCATGAGGCCCACGAAGCACCAGAACGTGTCGCTTTCATCCTGGATCTCACTGAGCAGCGGGGCCACCAGGTCGGACATGCCCTGGCAGTAGCCCATGTCGGGGTTAAACACGGCATAGTTGAGCAAAATGCGCCTGCCGACAAATCAACAACAAGATCAGTAATCAGATCTGCCAATCCAAAAGGGTAAACGTTCTAATACTAAAAACAGATGCAATATTGACAGATCCAAATATGGTTTTGTGGAGGACCAGCTCGGGCCAGACCACGAGTCAGGTCCCACCCAAAAGCACTGAAATGTGTTTCGAGTGACACCGATTATTAGAGGGGGAAAGCTGTGGTTGCTGATTTTCGCGCAGTCAAAGGGAGGAAAGAGATATTTGTATTGCAATAAAATAACTTTAATAACAATGAAAGCTCTAATAATGTTCAGGGCATCTGGAACTTCTCTGCCACCTAATGTACTAAACCATTATAGAGACGCTGACCATAATGACAGACTTTAAAAGAAAAAAAAGAATGCCCTGAGCACAGAGCCAGTAGTGGGCGACAGGTGTAGGGTCAGAGAGTGATTGGCCCTGTGTGTTGTGTGGGTACTTTTTGTTCTGTTGCATGCGTGTGAGAGTCTGCTTCTTTAAACCTCTTTTCAAACCATGTGTTTGTTTTCTGTTTTTCTCCTTTTTCTGTTTTTACTAATTTGAGAATCAAGTTGTTTTAAAATATACACAAGTTTGATATAAATAATTAGTTTGAATAGATTGATTGATAAATGTACTTTGTTCAGATCGGTCAAAGCTTTTGGCACAGCATTAGTATTCACGTGCACGCAGATCCTGTTTTTTATTGTTCTGTCCTTGCTGAGGGAAAAAGGATAGGATGCTTCGGGACAATCCACTTGCCTAAATCCTGTGGACATTTGTTTCCCCGTCTTGTTTGTCCAATTCTGTTTCAATCGTTTCATTTTCTATTCTGCTAATGGCCAATCAACAATTGTGTGAAGTCAATCAAGATGAAAGCGGTTGTGATTGTATTTGGCCACAAGCACAGCCGTAGATCGTCTCTCAGCCCAAAGTGTCTGATAGTGACTGACATGGATCTATGTAAATGCATTAAACTTCCTCTTCGTAATGAGTAAAATGTACCTGAATAGATTTTGTTACCAAAGTCTGTGTTTAAAATACATTTTCTGGGAAGAAAAACAGATTTTTTGAAAATATTACACACAAAAAAAAAGTTTAATACCCCAGCAGTTGCTATGCCAACTTCTGTGGTGACCAGGGAGCTCATTAATAATCTTTCCATTGTCATATTCCAAAATTGCTCTTGGCTGGCACATGATTACAGAGCAGTTCTCTCGTGTATTATAAGTATTCAATTTCCAAATATGTTGTTTTTGGACAAGCTCCTTCATCCATCAGGCCTCTATGTATAAATATGTGTGTGTGTTGTGATGGTTGCAGGGGCCTTAGATACAGATGGTCTGCCACGTTCTCAAAAGTTTGCTCCGGGGAATGTCTCCTGAAGGAACAGTGAAAGTGATGAATAACGCATGACATTGTAAAGTGAGTTAGACAAAGAAACTAAACCCTTGACGATGAACCCTCATGATAGTTATCCTCAAATACTCTTCAGCAGGTCGCCTCACAGACATTCATAATTGTCGTACGTCACTATATCTCGCTCATGCACGACCCGCTGCAGACGTATGATAAGAAGTAGAAATCCGGAGCCAGGAAAATAAATATTTTTGGGATTCTCTGCGTTCACATCTGCCAGGCTGATAGGAAACAGATAAGGCATACAGTACTGGCGCAGCAGCACTATCCTCCCCCCTCCCCCCCAGACACACGGCGTAATACCTCGACAAACATAAGGGGCCTCCACGAGACACTAAACTAATATGCTATTTAAATCCTCTGCTCCTCGTTTAGAAAAACCATTAGCTCTGAGTATGCATCAAAAAAGTGCTCCGACGGCTTAGTCAGAGTCAATAAAGCATGAAACTCATTTGCGGCTCCCCTCGGGGTTCAGAATATGAAATGAATAGGTGCGCCAGTGCGTCGGGCCGAGGAAGAAGCCATAAGTACGGACCATGTCAAGAAGAAGAAGGAGGAGGAGCAGGGTTTGGGAATGAGACAAGTGAAAGTGGTGGGCTAACCTCATGATCTCCACATTAGGGTTGTTCTCTCCTTGGAAAAAGTGGTTGCTGCGATCGGTTCTGACCACGTCTTTGTCCACGGTGAACTGGACCTTCCTCCAAAATGCGCTGTGTTCTTCGGGGCTCATGGATAACCTTAGAAAAAAAAACATCTGAGTGAGACAATTGACTTTTAATGAGCATGGGACCACATTCAAACAGAGAAAGCAAATCACTGTGATTCTGCAGGCGACGCTTTTATGCCGTTTTCACCTGTCCGCCCACTGGTCTGTTCTTAATGCCGATTATTACAAAAAGATTCCACTGCGGGTCGAACACGTCGTGCTGAAAGATGCCATAACCTTTTTATAATTAAAAATGGACTCTGAAAATGGACTTTGAAATACCATTAGAAACCGCTACCTTTCCAACAGCAGTGAATGGACCAGTCTCTTGTGCCGTTTAGTATGAATCGAGAAGAAAATGACATCTAAATGATAACAAAGGCTTGACATGTCTCTTCATGCAATGAGTCTGTATTATACATAACATTAAGTTAAAAAGCGAGTTAGACAAAGAAATAGTTGATTTGCCAATTTCAGAATAGATAACCTTTCCAACAGCAGTGAATGGACCAGTCTCTTGTGCTGTTTAGTATGAATCGATGTATGCAGTGTGTGCGATTCCACACACGTCTGCGTGATGTGGCTGCAACAACATGATCAGCCCTCACATTTTACTCTAAATCTCACAAACAAATGCAGACAACGGAGGTGTTTGAACTACTTTTATTCCTAAACGCTCCACCAGGAAAAATAACAGGACCATGAGCTATCCATCCATTACACCGGGTAGCACCTACAGCATCACTATAACCAAGCAGCAGTTCCTCTAACGAGCAGCGGGGATTTAATTAACACTAGTTTGTTTTGCATTTTGCATGCGGCTCCTCCAGGAATTCACCGCACACACCTGATGCAACGCTCTGCAACTGTTTAGTTTCTGCCGCTGCGGTCGCAAACCACTTCTACCTGGACCTGGAGGGCAGAGGCCACAAACAATCACCATAGTCACCCAACCGAGATCTTTTGCCATTTATTTTCAGCCATGACAAACACACAATTTACAAAGCCAGAGGCATAAGGGTTACTCAAGATTTTAATGATCCCTATCGCAGCTTTCACAATAGAACCATTAATAAGCGAGCTCGCACAAACGAACACAATCATCACAAAGTTCATAGCTCTACTTCTTTTAAACCTAAAATAATATATATATATTAAATATATAGTACACATGGCACGACTTCTTCTAACAATCTCGAAGAGACATGTCCACCGATCCTTTGTATACTCAGTTGATGTCATGTCACTGTTTCTTTCCCCCCGCCCCAAACCCATAATCATGGGGCGGGAGGCGTGGGCAATCAGAGGCTGCCACTCAACCTGCTCAAAACACAAAGCACCATCCCCGGCTGGATCCTCCGCGACAGGTGGTGAGTCACGAGGAAGATGGCCCTCTCTCTACAGATCAAGGCACAGGACTTGGTCTTTCACAGGAGGGCGTCAGGGCAAAGTTGGATTATGTCTCCTTGGACCCAGGGTGACACAATGACAGCAGGAAACCAGAGGGAGTAGGTGACATGGGTCATGTCATGCGGAGATCCCCAAAACTCCAATTAGGATCCAACAGAACACAATGCCTACCTAACTGAGAACTTCTGTCGACTGCACCTCATTTGGCGATGGTTATCAACTTAGTAACAATGTTTAACGGTATTGCGTAATTATCTTTTTGTCTCTGTTATCTTCTTTTTACAAGCTTTGAACCAACTACTCACCATTAAGGACAAACAGAGTGTCATATTAGTTTTCACATTGTACGGTTAGCTTTTGTAAAAAGTTCACCTGCGTCTGTCAACCGTGTGTAGTCACACTTACAATGGTCTATATATTGGCGTACCGATCCAACTCGATGGGCTTATACCCTGAATAGCGGCTTTTCTAAGTCGATGCATGAACCTATTATCCGCGTCACAATCTCTTACAATTCGCGATACAAATTATTCCATCTGAAAAGCCTCTTTGTCGTGTGCAGATACTCAGCAAGAGCCTCACGTTAGTAGAGCAGGGCAGGTGACACAATTCAGAGACAGTTAGAGCGACACGCAGCCTGGTCAGAGATTCATGTACACAAATAAAGACAAGAAGCACAGGCATGTTGCTCCGAACTAATATTTCCATATATGCTCTGACACTCAGACGTTCTCGCGGCAGGACCCCCACCCAGAAACCTACTCCGCTCATGAAAGCAAGTGAGCGAGCAATAGTGGGACAGGTACCAACAATTAGCAATAGGATCTACGCATAGCAAAGCCATAAATATACGCTTCTCTGTACTCTTCTCTAGCAAACATGTATGTAAACTAATTTGACACAAAGTCCTTCTAGTAAGTTAACATTTAGACCTCCGTTACAATGGCCATTTATCTGGTTAAAGCGGGCGTTGCCCAACTTTGTGATCTATTTTTGCTCCCCAATCACGGAACGGTCCCGGAAATTCCACGAAAGCAAGTTAAACTCCAACAAGCACATATTGGCCTCTGCATTGTGACCCCTCCGACTTTGCCTTAACAGTTTCAGCGATGCTCCTGTTATCTACACAACACTAGCTGGTTCATTGTGGTCGTAGTAGGTGCACATGTAGTTCGGTATAGGGTCAAGGACAACAAATTGGGCGAAACCTCTCCCCAAAAAGTCTCTCCCCTTCTGACAAGATTTTGCTGCGCGCCCCCAAGGTTTCGTGCTGACCACAAAACAAGAAGATAAACGAGAGCCCTGTGATGCACTGTTTACACTTGTGGGCAGGGAGGGTCGGATTGGCTCGCGAGAGTGATCCTATACTTTGTCACATTCTATACGATGCTGTGTAGCAAACGCGGTGGCCAGAGGCACAAATACATGTAAGACCAAAACATTGGGGTGGTGTCTTTTTTATTTTTCGGTCGGCTTTTAGACAAGACAGGTACCACAGCTTCTGCATAACACTCGTAATTAAAAAACGAATCCATTACGGCGAAGACACCGGAACACAACAAAACACCCTCAAAATATTGCCTGCATTCCATTCATAACTTAAAAAGGCATATTTCCCCCATGCTGATTCTGGTGACCACCACTGGTCAAAGGCAATGACATTCGTACAGAAACGGGGGAAGCTGGAGCAAGACAGGAAACCGCCTCCAATATCAAACCAGTGGCCCCGCCTGCGGCAGGCTGGCTCTTCTGTCAAGCGGACTTTAAACGGCAATTGCAAACAGGCGCTCTAATTACCCTGCTCCGATAACACCTTCTGAATGGACTGTAATGTTAAACTAGGCATGGAGGGACGACTGAAACAGTCCAATTATCATACATTCTCAAAACCACAGTCGACGTTTCGCAAATTATGTGGACCAATCCTGCACTGCTCGTAGTTCTCAGGCAGGACTAGGGGTTAGTCTAGCCGCGCTATAAACCCGTATGTGCCGCCGAACTCCTCGCTCCCTCTTCTTTCCCGACACGTTTGCATGGATCAGTAAGTCGCTGAATGTTTGCTCCTCCCGGATCACCTTTAATTCTTCTGGCAGGGCCACAATGTCCGAGCAACCCAATCCCCGAACACTTCCCTAGTGGAAGCTATGTAGCCTATATGAGTGACACATTAACGAGTTTGAGCGATCTGAAGACCGAACGTACAAATATCCTCCAAGTATGCACACAGGTAGCATATACACAATGCATAGCGTGAGTGACAGTGCTGCGTATTGGAGCATGGGTCTTTCGGTCAAAAGGCCCGGAGAGAGGCCACATGGTACCAGCCGGCGGCGCCGGCCTGAGTCTCCTCCGCTGGGAAACTTTAAAAACGTGCCGGTGACACTGTGTGTGTTAGGTGACCAAGGGGGGATACCTTTTAAATTTACAGATATTAATACAGTCAGGCAATGTGTGACCTCTGAGCGGAGCGCAATTGTAAATGCTCTCGGGGGCGAGACCTTACAGTTCCGAATCGCGAAAATCACTAACAGATTACAAAAATAAACAAGATTTGGACAAACATAACACCCTAACACAAAAAAAGATGACACTTATTGCTTTTGCAATGGGACTGCATTTTACTGAACCCCACGGTAAATATGTCGTTGATACCAGTAAAACAAAACACTCACTGGTGTGTTGCAATGAGAATTAAACTAGGCTTAACGCAATTGCACAACATGTATAAATGTAATGAGGACGAAAATTAGAATAATTGCATTCTAAGTTCATTTACTTTTCTGTAATTCAACTTAGAAATTCAATAGACACGAAAAACTAAAATATGAAACCTAATATATCTATGTTGCCCACATAACCCCTGTAATAAGGTAAGGGCCCACCTCGAGGCTTTAAACCCATTACTACTTTGTACTTCATTGGGTACCAGCTGAGACTATAAGCCGCTTCTTTTTTTCAAGTTCGTTGATCCCTGCGTCCAATTATGCATTTTAACCTTATGTGCGTTCCCATGGGGTTACATTTAATTCTTGTTAAAGCGGAAACAATCGTTAGGGGAGCTCGGTCATAAGAGTTAAAAAAAAACCTAGTTCAGGGATGGGGAGCTCATTATCAAAGTTCTATTATCAAACAAATAGATGTATCTTACCAGACAGAGTTAGCGAGGCATCATCCACACAGGGTCAGCAGAGTAATTAACACCTTCAATAAAGATCATGTTCCGTTTCAAAACAGTTCTGAGTTTGTTTTGCTCTGTAAAAATCTCAGCTTCCCTAAGTGTGGGCCTATACGTTTGGAAAAAAATAGACATTGACCATTTACATTCACATTCAACAGTTGAATTTTCATAATATTAATGAATAGACATGGAACTTTTAAACCTTATCTAGAGTTTCCCCCCATTTACTCACCAGTAATAGAATCGCACTCATCTGTAACTTCCAATATGATTCTTTTTATTATACCATGCCTACTTTCTCTGAGAGAGTACTAACTGTTAGAGTGGCGTGGGAGTGAGAGGTTGCCAGCATATTCCCACTACTGCCCATATTGACCGAAGAACACGTTTTTCAATCTTGCACCTCTATCGTCACACTCTCATTAAACCAAATCACCACAAAA